TGTCCGGTCGAGGGGCTCCTAGCCAGGACCCACACGGTCAAGAGTGAAGAGCACCTTCTATAAAGACATCTCTCTGTGGGTTCCAGAATCGAGTCCTCCACTTACCAGATGTGTGACTTCAAGCGAAAATCACTTAACCTCTCTATAGCTCAGCTTCCTCATTTATAAAAGGTGGTGAGTGTGTCAACCTGCCAGGACATTTTAAGAGTTACATGAATTCATCTTTGTAAAGCTGTAAGCATGGAGCCTGACCCACAGCATCGTAGAACAGGCAGCCAGAGTTGGCCGGTAGGTTAATTTCCTACATCTGCTGTAACACATTCCCACAAACTTGGTGGCTTAAAATAACAGAAATGTGTTATCTCATAGTTCTGGAGAGCAGAAATCCAAAACCACTATCGCTGCGCTGAAATTAAGGCGCAATATCTCTGCACCTGCACTTTGTTCTGTGTCCTGACCCAGCAACACAAAGCACCTTGACCACGCCATGACCCAGACAGCTGCAGCTTTTCCCTGTGGGACTGAACCAAAGCCAGGGCTTGAACATTCCAGGGCACTGATAAAGGTTTTCAAGTTGTTCCCCAAAACACTGAAGGAAAATGGCCTCATCCCTGAGTCAAATCCCTTGAACTTGTGTATAAACTGCACACCCCGATCTTCTTGTGGCAGACACACAAGGGGACATCCCTCTGTTAGTAGGACATCCCTTTCTTTCATTGTCTGAAAAGGACAACACAGCCCTCTTTTTAAGTAAGTTCCCATGATAAATGCTCGGCACGGGCCATCCTCGTATTCAGTCCTTCTTTTTTCTTGAAATCCCAACTGGCCCTGTGCCAAGACAGTTTGGGGGAACAAAGTCCCTTATGAGAACTCTATGGCTGTCTTTTGGGGAAATTCCTGCTGTAGGTTCAGCTGGGACAGAGCACCAGGTGTCAGCAGGACCATCTTAGCTTTTCCATGGCTCTGACCAAAAGACCTGACAAGAAAAATGTAGAGGGGGGAAAAGTTTATTTGGGGGGGCTCATGGTTTCAGGGGTCTCAGTCCATAGATGGCCAACTCCATTGCTCTGGGCCCAACGTGAGTTAGAAGAACATGGTAAGGAAACGACTCAGGACATGACCATCAGGAAGCAGAGAGTCAGGTTGTGTTTACCAGGGACAAAAAATAAACCCCCAAAGCACTCTCCAGATACCTGCCTCCCTGAGACACGCTCTGCCTGCAATCAGCACCCAGTTAATCCATTCAAGTGGATGAACACACTTCTTAGGTTAAGGCTCTCATGACCCAATCATTTCACCTCTAAACTTTCTTGCATTGTCCCACACATGGACTTTTGGGGGACACCTCATATCTAAAGCAGAGGCTTGAGATGAAAATCTATCCCTTGCTTCTCCCCCCTTCTGGTGGCTGCTGACATTCCCTGGCTTGTGGCCACATCACTCCATCTCTGCCTCCTTGATCACATCACTTTCTCTTCCAGTGTCTGTCTGAAATCTCCCTCTGCCTCTTTATGAGGATATTTGCGAGGACAGGGCCAGCTCAAATGACCCAGAATAATCTTGACATTCTTAGCCCCACCTGCGAAGTCCTTCTTACCGTGGGCAGTAAGATTCCCAGGTTCTGGGGATTAGGATGAGGAACCATTATGCGATGGCCACAGCTGCTCTTATTGGCTAGGAGTGGAGTCTGATTAACAGTAAATAGGTGGACAGAGAGTGAAGGGAGGAGAGATCCCACAGCGTACTGGGATATACGGTTACCAGCAAGGGACAAGAACACCCCTGGCAGCGGCTGAAGGGTATCCCAGGACCCTGAGACCCTCCTTTCTATGCCGTGGTGCTGGGGGTGGGCTATATAATGCTGCAGAACTGCAGGAGGACAGAAGAAAGGCTGGACAAGCGGTGGCTCTAGAGGACATGCAAATGCAGGAGGGTGGAGATTGTCACCTCCACGGTAGAGTGAGTTGCCCTTGCAAGGACACTGCAAGGGCTGAAAAAGCTGAGAGACAAACAGAAGTTGGGTGCACTGTATGGGCACAGGACAGCAATGAAACCTCAAAATCCATTTGAATGTACGAGTCTAGAAACATCCTTCCTCTTCTTCCCTTGATCCAGAATAATCAGACTTTCATTCCTCTCTGGAATTCTGCAATTTTTCATTTATTGTTATTTGTTCGTTTGTTTGTTTGTTTGGGGGGACTAGGGATTGAACTTCACCACAGAGCCACATCCCCAGCCCTTCTTTATATTTTCTTTAGAGTCAGGGTCTTGCTAAGTTGCTTAGGGCCTTGCTGAGTTACTGAGGCTGGCCTTGCACTCTAGATCCTCCTGCCTCAGCCTCCCAAGCTGCTGAGATTACAGGCTCTTGTTATTTATTTAAAGTTAAGTATCCCACTAACCACAGTATGGAATGTTGACTATTAGGGAAGAGGGTGGCTGTGAGGGAGCTAATGATGGTCCCCGGGCAAAATCCTGGTAACAGATGATGGTGGATTGCACTGAGATAGGGCGACGGAGATCAGTGGGCGGAGTGGGTTCAGTAGGTCTCTGGGAAGTACACGGGATCATCTTCTGAGGCTAAGGAAGAAGGTATTTTAATTGACTTTCAGATTGACTAAGACTGTGGCTCAGGGGATGAGATAGGAAGCGATCGTATGCCCCGAGATGGAGGATGCAGGAAGAAGGCTGAGTGAATCCGGACATCCAGATGGCACTCCGGCCACCAGACACGTGGATGCCAAGCTCACAGAAACCCAAGGTGGAGATGCCAGAGTGGGCGTGCGGAAGATGGTAACAGAAGCTATGGGAGCAGACACAACAGACAACAAAAAGTACAGAGGATGAGAACAGGAAAAGAACCAGATTTTAAGGAACCCCAACTCGTAAGGGATGGGTGAGTACGGTAAGCCGGACACAGGAACTAAGAAGTGGTCAAAGGAGGGAAAGGTGGGTGACCAGAAGAGCATCAGGTTTCTTGGAAAGAGGATGTTTCAAAAAGTTACCTTGGAAATGACATTGAATGTTAATCAAATAAGAAAAAAAAATGTTTACTGGATTTAGTTACTACTAACAATAGAAAGAGAAGATCCTGTGAAAAAAAATAGGGTCAGAACCCAAATTAGACAGGTGGGTGACAGAGAGCTAGGAAGCAGACATAGCACTTTATTTATTTATTTATTTCACATTCTTTTATCGGTGCCAGAGTTGTATGAAACGGTGGGACTTGTTGACACATATTCGCACATGCACACGATAGAACAATATATTTTGGCCAGTATCATTCCCCGGTCTCTGGCTCTATACAGCACTAACATAATGTGTCCAATCACAACAAGGCAAGGTGTAATATGACGAGAGAAACTGAACTCGGGAGAAATTGTGAAAGCCAAGGCTTTTGTGAAAGTCTACCGAATCTGGCCCAGGAGATTACATTTCCCTTTCCTGTGATGTAGGTGGCCACCATGAATCACGGGTTCCAAAGTTTCCTTCATTACTGCCATCAGCAGGGGGAGGGGCATCCTCCACATAGACGACACACCACCGTGACAGAGGAAGACGTGAGGAGAGGGGAGGACAGGCGGAGGCCAAGAGGCTGCCTGCTCCTCTACACTTGCCTTCCTGCAAAATTCTGCTTTGCAGCTAAATCCAGATCCTCATGCATATTTATAGAAAATCGTAAAAGCCAAATGACACAAATACATTTGGTAGCAAGCAACAGAGAATGGTCTCTTAGTGCCTTAGTTCCTCTGTTTATCTAGAAAGTGCCTCTGTGTGCGGAGGGAAGGAAATAGGGAGGTGGGAAGCCTTTATTCTAGAAGGGAGTAGAGCTAAACCCCTAGAGATCTGGACCCTGGAGACCTGAGCCATGAAAATACTGGATGACTGAGCAGTGGACAGGGAGTAAGTGTGTCCTAGGGAAAGAATGGGGATTCTGAAACCCATCCCCTAGGTTAAAGGGAAACACGGGGGCTGAGGATGTGGCTCAGTGGCAGAGTGCTTGCCTAGCATGTGGGGGACGCCCTGGGTTCCATCCCTAGCATCAAAGAAAGAAAGAAAGAAAAGAAAAGATATTCTGACTAAACATGACTATCGTGTGTCCCCAGCTGCATATTTCTAAAGGATTTTGAGGAGCTTCTAACCTAGAGTTACACTGGAGAGAAAGGGGACAGAGAAAGAACAAGGGTGGTCCAGCCTCAGGGTGATCCTCTCCTAAGGGAGAGGGAATACATGGAGCTCTGCTCTCCTGCGAAGAGGCACTTGAGCACGTGAACTCCAGCCTCCTGTATTCCTGTGTGATGGCACACCTGTGCCCTGAGCCTCCAGATATTTTATTTACCAAGTGGTTCACCATCTATGAAGCTGGAGAGGTGGAACCGTCTAAGACATCTACCAAGGGCTAAGCACTCTGTGTCTGCCATCTCCTGGAGTCCCCACAGAATTTCTGAGGGTTCCCGCGCTCACTTGATGGAAAAAGGAAACCAAAGTTCAGAAAATTGATCTACCCCAAAGTCCCAAATGAAGGGACTTGGATTTGAGCCCACGTCTGCATGACTAAATCCCATGCTATTTCCACCACAGCAAGCCATGAGCTGGGAGGAGTCAATCTGTTTCAACCAAGAAGGCAAAAGACCCTTGGGGTGAAGGGCGGGAGACCACCCAACAGTGGAGGACGGAAGGGTGGAAGGAAGCAGGGAGCCTCTTTCCTTGGAGTGAAATCAACCTTCTAGGCACTGACCGAGGAAATTGCCTGGAAAGGAGCAGAGATTGTGACATGGAAGTGGGAAAATGCCTGGGGTTAAACAAAAACGAAAAAAATCAGGAATCAGGAAGTAGATACAGAAAAATCTGTGTTTGGAAATCGGAACAAGGCTCTCCAGGGAGAGAACAGAGTCGCCGGGGCCCTTGACTTTGGTTTTGAGAGGAAACAGTGCTCAAGGACTGACCTGCCCCTCTCTGGTCACATGACCTGGGCTGGTATAAAAGCTTTCCATCAGCCAGGTCCCTCACGACTTTCTCCTGTGTGAAATGGGCAGCAGCAGTGGCTAAAGCTCTAGTCCTCTCTCCCAAGAGCTTCCAGACTTTTCTTCGGGACTAACTCCAAGAAGCCACCTCTCTGAAACGAAGACCAGGCAAGGCACCTTCGTACGTGTGCTCTGGGATGAGATGCTGGGGTCAGACTCTGAGGGGAAGCCATGGGAGGGGAGGGCTGGAGGAAATCGGTCAGAAGCTGCAATGGGGGCACACCATTCCCAGAGGCTGGAGTTGGCAGTGGGAAAAGGGGCCACGGACCAGAAGCTTGGAGAGAGGACCCAGGGGCAAGCCTGAGTGTGGGCAGCAAGGTTGCCACACTGAGAAACTGAGTCACCCCCTTAAGAAGAGGGGTTCTATTTAACAGTCAAAACACCAGGCTCAGGAACCTGGGGGCTTTTCTGAATATGTCTCTAAGGTCTTCTGGGGACAAGCCACAATGCAGAGTGCTGGCTCATCCCTCCTCCCACGTTGCCCCTCGTGTACGTGGCCTCAGCTTCCCCTTTTCAACCGAGTTCCAGAGTGACTTGCAGGGGTGGACAGGTGGAGGAAAATCTGTGTTCTGCAAAAGGAGGGGACAAGGAGGTCGGGGACTGGGCTGTGGGGCTGAGCACCTGGGGCTTGGGAGACCCAGCCTGGGGTTCACAGTGCCGGGCTTCTTGAATCTTCCTTCTCCTGAGACACACCTTACAGCTCTCTGCTGGCTCCCACGTCCCTCTCCCACGGGTGTATGAGAAGGAAAAGCCTTCAGTCAGGTTGGAAATTGATGACAGTGACTTCCTGTATCTGTGGGGCTGGGAGGGAAAGCGGAGGGGGAATTCCCTTGGGAAACCAAGGGTTGGTCTCCCCCAGAGACACAGGATGGCAAACGTAATAACTGCTGCTTAATATCCCGCCCAAGGTAAAGTCAATAATTGCTCTGGGCAGTTCTGGCAGGTGGTGTGAGCAAGCAGGGGTGGCAGCAGAAAGCTTGGGCCTGAGAAGGGAGAGTGCCAGGGACCATGTCCACATCGTGAACCAGGACAGAGAAGGGGCTGCAGGTCTCCAGCTTCCTGACCCTGCCCTTTTCCATCCTTCTCCAGAATGTCGCTCAGCTGGCACAGCTCCTTGATCCTCGTGGCCTACATTGTCATCTTTCTCACGGGTCTCCCCGCCAACCTCCTGGCCCTGCGCGCCTTCGTGGGGCGGGTCCGCCAGCCGCATCCCGCGCCCGTGCACATCCTGCTGCTCAGCCTGACGATGGCCGACCTCCTGCTCCTGCTGCTGCTGCCCTTCAAGATCATTGAGGCTGCGTCCGATTTCCACTGGTACCTGCCTCAGATCGTCTGTGCCCTCACGGGCTTCGGCTTCTACAGCAGCATCTACTGCAGCACGTGGCTCCTGGCGGGCATCAGCATCGAGCGCTACCTGGGAGTGGCCTTCCCCGTGCAGTACAAGCTCTCCCGCCGGCCCCTGTACGGCGTGATCGCGGCTCTGATCGCCTGGTTCATGTCCTTTGGTCACTGCACCATCGTGATCGTGGTTCAGTACTTGAACTCCACCGGGGAGGCGGGAAATAGAAACGGAATGACCTGCTACGAGAACTTCACCAAAGAGCAGCTGGACGTGGTGCTGCCCGTGCGCCTGGAGCTGTGCCTGGTCCTCTTCTTCATCCCCATGGCCGTCACCATCTTCTGCTACTGGCGCTTTGTGTGGATCATGCTCACCCAGCCCCACGTGGGCGCCCAGCGGCGGCGGCGAGCCGTGGGGCTGGCTGTCATCACGCTCCTCAATTTCCTGCTGTGCTTCGGCCCTTACAACGTGTCTCACCTGGTGGGGTTTTACTCCAAGAAAAGCCCCCCGTGGCGGGTGGAGGCCGTGGTGTTCAGCTCGCTCAATGCCAGTCTGGACCCTCTGCTTTTCTACTTCTCCTCCTCGGTGGTGCGCAGGGCCTTTGGAGACGGACTGCGGCTGCTCCGAAATCAGGGCTCCTCCCTGTTGGGTCGCAGAGCCAAAGAGAGGACAGAGGTGACGAATGGGGACAGGGGTGTGAGCCAAACAGAGGGAGTGCCAAGTTCGGACTTCACCACTGACTAGTGATTTCCCTTCTGGGGGCATTCTGGGCTACACAGGAGTTGGGCAGTTTGGGAGAGAGGGGACTCCCAGAGACAGGAGTCCCCAGACCCAATCCACAACTGACACTTGGTCAGAACCTCTCTTACCTGCTTGGTAACCCTGCCTGGCTAAATCTTCCCTCCCCAGGGAGCATAGCTCGGTGGCACAAGAAGAAACAGACCTAGAAGCACTGTCAGGCTGGGGTCTCGAAGCAAGGTAGTAGCTATGAAGTTTGTCCTTGTGAGGTGGTTGGTGTTTGGAGGTGATGTGTTTGAAGGCTGAGTCCTAAAGAAGTCTTGCTACAACTTAGAAACCACATTTAGATACTGGTCTAGTTGTTGGTGCTAGGAAAAAAAAAAAAAAAGCCAATAGGAAAGAGAATGGAGAGAAATACTAATTGAGAGCAAAAGTCTCAAAAAGGTTCTGAGCAAGGGAACTCCAAGGGAGGAGCAGGGGCTTAGATCTCTAGTGATCTGGGTTTCATTGTATCAGTTTGACTTTTGCTTTGTAAATGTGCTCCATTCGTTTCACATGTTATCTTGTCTCCCCCTTTAAACTGGGGGCTGTGTGAGGCCTGGGTCTCATCTTCCTTCTCCACGCAGGCCAGGATGTGGCTTGGTGCCCATCCACCTGAGATTGACACTGATTAGCACAGGAAAAAGCAATCTGGTCTGGCAGATTGAAAATAAAGGCCGTAAAACCCTGAAGTGAGTGTTCACAAGTTTTTGTAGTACATCCGCAAGCCCTGGGGGGTAAATGCAGAGTGAAGAACCAGAGGCCTTAGAGGGAGGTGATGCTATAGAAACCACAGAAAACTTTTAAGATGAATATGTCAAGAGGGTGAAGCAAGTAAGGATACTGATGGAATTCGGTTTAGATGGATGGCTTAGAGGATGCGGCTGAGTCTTGTTTCAAAGATATCTGTTTTTCACAGGGGCTTCAAACTCGGTGCCCCCTGCTCTGAAATCTGCTGTTCCTTATCATGAAAATTTGTCCTCCAAGGAATTCATTTTCTATCCATCCCTTTGCCTGCCTTGTGCCTTCTCTCCCTTCCCAAACCTACCAGCATAACTCATTTCTCTGCAATAAGGACCCCCTGGTCTGGCACTGTGATGCACACCTGTAATTCCAGCAGCTCGGGAGGCTTAGGCAGGAGGATTGCAAGTTCAAAGCCAGCCTCAACAATTTAGCGAGGCCCTAAGCAACTTAGTGAGACCCTATCTTTAAATAAAAAGGGCTGGAGATGTGGCTCGGGGGTTAAGCACCCCTTGGTTTAATCCACAGTACTAAAAAATTAATTAATTAATTAAAAACCCTAACTGTTCTCTCTAATTGAATGAATTAATCTTCAGCCTCCAGCCTCGTCCTTTTTGACTCAGGCCATACATTAGAATTACAGGTGGAGATCTGAAAATAACAGAGAGAACCAGTCACCCCTACTGAGAGAAGCTCTGGGGGTGGGGCCCAGCAGGTGAGCTTCAGAGCATGACTAAGTCCGGAACAGCTGTCATAGCTCAGGAGCCCAACTCATCCAAGAAATTATTCTTCAGGGAGACCTTCCTTGCATATATGTCCCCCCTCACCTCCATCCACCTTCTCCCATTTTCTGATCCCTCACTTGTCTCCTCTTAATGAGACCCCAGTCAACGTGCACTTTCTCCAGAAAGCTTTTCCTGATTATCCCCCACCCAACTGTAAGATCATTTTCTGGTTTCTTTCCTCAAAAGAAGGCTGGACTGTTGATGTAAGAGTCCAGATTCCAGTGATGGTGCATCTTACTAGTTGGGGGACAGGGAGTGAGTCACAGCCTCCAACCGCCTTTGCCCTATCGAAATAATGAGGATAATGCATAGTTTCTGGGCTTATTCTGAGGCCTCAAATGTGATTGCAGCTGGAGGCGTAGCTCAGCAGGAGAATGCATTCTCAGCATTCAAGAGGCCCTGGTTTAATCTTAAGTATCAAACAACTTTATAGATACGTTGTACATGTGAATATTATTTATGTGTTTAATACAAATGTACATACATATATGGTTGCAGGTTTTTTAAAATGTGATTGCGGAGGTAAAATTGCTGAGAAATTGTGGAGTATTATTTAAATCTAAGACATCCATCCATGTGAAGCACAGATGTACTCTCACTTAAAAGAAATATAAGTTAAAAATTTAAAAATACTGGAAATAATATGTTATGTAGCCAACTCTAGGATAGTTTGGCAAGGATATGTGAAAAAAATATATGGAATTTTCCAGCTGTTATGAGTCTATGATGTATAACAGCTTCCAAAAAAGCTAATTTGATTTAGGTGGCATTAAAAGAAATAAAGATTGAATAAGTTGATAACAACATCTCTCCACTTAGGTGTAATCAGTAGTGCGCTCGGGAACAAATGACACATTTGTAAGAAGGATACTAACTCAGGGAATTGAGCCCTCAAAAATTAGCCAAAATGTTTTGGAGACTTAAAACTCTATAGTAGTAGTAGTGGTAGTTGTTGTTGTTGTTGTTGTCGTCGTCAATAGAGCATGTTAAATGGCAGACAGTAACATAGGGAAAAAAACAGAGAGGGTGAAGGCGATTTTCCAAGATTAACAGGTGAAAGAGGGTTTGGATCCAGGTCTTCTGACTCCGAAATGCCTGCTTTTTTCATTGACAAGGGAGAAAGAAGCAAGAGAACAATGGCTGTGTGGCTCTGTGGCCAGGACATGATAAGTTCCATTTTTCAGAAGATGCATTTTCTGTAGCCCCACAAGGAAGAGCAAAGATCATGACAGGGAGATAATTTCAAACAGCTTGTGCTGTTTAAATACAACTGACTCCCCCAGCATGGTAAGTCACTCCCCAATTTCCAGGAATACTCAAGTAACAGATAGCAACCACCTATCTCAGGACAGTGAGGAAATACATGTATGATAAGGATTGAACCAGTTAACTGCTAAACCCCTTTGAACTCCAAGATTCTCAGGTTCCTTAGAGACGCCGCTACTTTCGCTAACCAGGAAAGTAGAAAATGAAGTCATTTTGTTCTTAGTGGAGTAATAAGAAAATCATCAGAGTTGGTTTGAGACTTTCAGGGTGAGGCTTTAGCTATTCACAAGAACCTAGTCTTGATTAAGTGACTTCATACATCAGCCCTTTTTTTTACCAGGAAATTAGTCATCCATTTGCTCAACAAATTGAGATGGATTATCTACTGCAGATGCTCCTTGATTTATGATGGGGTTCTTTCCCAATAATCCCATCATAATTTTAAAATGCTATAAATAAAAAAAATGCATTTAAGAGACCTAACCTACTGAACATCACCTCTTGGCAGCATAGTGCTCTACAGACAAACAGTTGTCTCCCTTTGTGACTGGGAGCTGCCACTCAGTGCCGCTGCCACTCAGTGCCACAGCCCAGCCTCACAAGAGAGTCCCATACTGCATATCACTCTCCCAGGAAAAGATAAAAATTCACAGTGTGCAGGATGGTGTCTACCAAGGGCACTTGAATTTCCCACCATTTCCAAGTTGAAATGTCTTAAGTCGAACCTTCGTAAGTCAGGGACCATCTGTAGAGGTCAGACACTTTTCTGGGGATCAGAGTTTGCAAATGTACAAAGGACAAGGTAGGTGTCCTGTCATGGGGGCTTCCATTCACGTAGCAGGAAACAGTTAAGAAACAAGTAAACAAATGCACCCTCAGGTCCTTTCAGACTGTGGCAAATGGAAACTGGTTTCAAAGGGACAAGACAAGATTATGGGAGAAAGCACATGGAGATTTGAGGAGGTTTGGAAGATTCCCTGAGACAGGGATGCTCACCTGATGCCCTTGATGTTCAATAAGCATATTGGCCAGGTATATTGTGCCTGAGAGAGTTAAGAAACCATAGAGTATTAAAGAGGGTTTGCCATACAAAGGCCCATAGAAGAACAGTCCAGAAACCAGAACTGCTAATGGATGCAAAGATCCTAAGAGAGAGAAAACCTTAGCATCTCAAGGCCAGAGGGGCTAGAAGAGTAGTTTTGAACTTAAGCATGTGTTAGAATTAATTCGGGAGGCGGGGGTGGTTGCTGAACCCTGGATCACCATCCTCCCTCCCCCAGCATTTCAGAATTAGTAGGCGTATCGCTCAGGGTTCTCCTGAGAAACAGAACCAATGTGATATGATATATATATGCATATGCAAGAGAGGATCATACTGCATATCCCTTGCCCAGGAAAAGATGAGACAAGTATATAATCTCATCTGCCATCTGCAAGATGGAGACCCAGGAAAGCTGATGGTTAATCCCAGTTTGAGTCCAGAGGTCTGAGAATCAGGAGAATTGATGGTATAAGTTTTAGACTGACGATAGGAGCCAGTACCCCAGTTCATATAATTAGGCAGAGGGAGCAAATTCTTTCTTCTTCTGCCTATTCTTTTTCAAACCCTCTATGAATTGGATAATGTCCACTCACATCAGAGAGGGCAATCTGATTTATTAGTCTACTGACTCAAATGTTAATCTCATCCAGAAACTCCCTGATAGATACACCTAGAAATAATGTTTAGCCAAATATTTAGACATCCCATGGTTCAGTCAAGCTGACATGTAAAAATAACCATCTGAACAGGTCTGGGCTGAGTTTCTAATACGTTCCCAGGTGATGCTGATACTGCTAGTCTGGGGACCACATTTAGAGAATCATTGAGCTGGAATCCTGTGAAATAAAGAGAGTGTGATAGAATATGGAGTTCAGAAGGCCAATGGTGATGATCCAAAGGCTTTAGGTCAGAGAAAGGAGTTTGAATGTATTCTAAGAACTTCTGAAAGCCATTCAAGCAAGAGAGGAGAATGATCTGATTTTTTTTCCAGTGTTGGGATTCGAACTCAGAGCCTTGTGCATGCTAGGCAAGTGCTCTACCATTGAGCTGTATCCCCAGTTTTGATTTCCATTTTAAGAAGGTCACTGGGAGAGCTGTGCCTACCTCTGAAAGGAAGATCAAGAGGATGATATGCATGAGAGAGTTAGGAAACATGGAGCATTGTGCAAACATGCAGAAGTTTCATCAGGCTAGCAGCTCCCTGGAAGGGTGGGGGTGGGGGGCTGTTTCCTTCTTCATTGGAATCAGCCCTCCAAGGATCCAAGAGACAGGAGGCAGCTTAACAAGTTCTCATGCATCTACCCGGTAGATGCATAATAGATGGATGTTTCCGGTGATGCACTGAAAAATAGCTCTCGGTAGTAAGGGGGAATAGGATGGAGAAGTGGGAGGGTGGAGGAGAAAGAAGGCCCTGATTTATAGCCCTTGCCAATTTCTGTGCAATCTACATGTCCCTCGGGGTTAATTTCTACCAACGTGAGGATACTGAACATGGGTTTGGCAAGAGATGCTACTAATCAGCTCCTCTAAGCCGGCTGGAACACATCCCTGAGCATATGCTCAAAGAGCAGGCTGATCGCATCCTCCTGGGGGAGGCTTTATCTTTCCCTGGCTACAGATAGAGCAAGGTTCTTGCCCCAGGCTCCTGACACAATTAACACGGTCTAAATGCGGCTGGCTGGGCTTGATCCAAGAGCATCCGGGTAGCTGTATGTTTGTGGGGCTCGTCTGAATCCCCTGCCCTGAAGCAGGATGCCAGATGGGTAAACAGGAATATTAGTCTCTGGTTAATGAATAACGTGGACAGCAGCCTAGAGCTGCTACCAGGAAACAGAGGTGGAGAGAGAGCTGGCTGGGC